TCCACTTTATTATCGCTTTCTGGCCCATGTGTGATAATGTCCTAAGTTAGGTTCCCAGGAGAAAAGGAACGTATCCCACAGCATGTGTACATCCACCAAATATGAGACAACTGAGGCAAAGGTGTTGAGTAGTTCTGACTTTAACTCTATCCCCTGTTAGCATTTTACCTTCCTCTCCATGCAATGGCCCTAAGTTGGAAGTTCCCAGAAGGAAAAGGTCAGTGGTTCGCCTAGTGCCCAGCACTCCACCTCTTGTGCGCAGATCGGTGTGCAATTCACATTCTCAGGGGATCCTCCGGATTTTCCAACCGGAGGTGCAAACGGGATTCTTTTTACCCTGGAGCATGGACCGGACCCATGTTTCGCCTGTTTTAGCCCCATATATCATCGAAGCAGCTCAGTGTGGGAACATTTCTTTTCCTCTGTGCGGACACAGCCAAAGATTGCCTCCCTTGGACTGATCTGATTGGAGTGGGAGGTAAAGGAGCTTTACTTTCAGAGGCTTTCTTAACGGAAGTATGCCCATGGATTGCAGTGTGCCGTGCCTAAAGAGAAGATCTTGAGATTTAGCCCTGTTTCCGAGCCTTCCATGTCTCTGGCTTTGGGTCTCAGTAGCAGCTAGAAGGGAATTTGTTCAAAGTCACTTCCAACTTTCAAATTCCTTCAAAGACTTTGTAGCTCAGCATTAGTGCTGGAAATAAATCCTTAAGACTTGGCTTAAATGCTGTCTTTCAGAAAGAAATGGGGGGGGGGGACGGGACAGAAATCAATATACATCACAGTTTTAACAAAACCCTGTTTCCACTGGCATGCTAGAAAGATTTAGGAAACATCTGGAATACTGTTGGTGTCTTAGGTGTGTGGAGATGCCCCTTTGGAAACGGTTCAGCATTTTTGCTCTATGCAGAATGGTCATATTCGGTGCTAACAGAGTCGCACATGCCATGCCATTGGGCTTAGTTGCATATATTGGGCACAAGGAGGCACATTTTGCATTGCACATAGTTTTGTATCACACATAATGAACATTGTGCATGCCAATCCTGTCTGCACATTTGGTTGTGAATCTGGCTGTGCAATTCACTAGCGGATTGACATGGAGCAACTGTGACATAACTCTCTGAGCATTCTTCAGGAAACATATTTGGGGTAGCCATGTTGACCATACAGCAAAATACAATAAAATAGCCAAATCCTGAAAAGAGTGATACCTTCATTGGCCAAATCCAAAATACAGAAATTACATCCCAGTCTTGCATAATGCATTTCCTGCATTTTGGTTGTCCAATAAAAGTCCCACTCTTGTGGATTTTGGATTCCGTGAGCATTGTTTGTTTATACATTCATTTTAATTTAAAAAAATGATGTATTTCTTTTTCACCTTATGTCCAAATGGGATCCGAGGCAACTCAGAGCACGAATTAAAACTATATACATGAACTGAAACCTAGAAATAATAAGTTTTTGATAACTGGCCTTTCTCTGAGGTTGAGAGAGTGCAACTTGCCCAAGGTTAGCCTTTCTTTTGCCATGGCTGGATGGGGATTCAAATCCAGGTCTCCCAGAGTGATAATCCAGTACTCTAACCACTATCTCACAGTAGCTTTAAGAGTAAGGCAAACCTCTCATGGGGTTTCCTTGGCAAAACTTGTTGAGACTTGTTCAGATTGTCTCCCTTTGTGGCTGAGAATATGAGCCATATAGGAAGAGAATAATGACAAAAAACTTACTGGCTTGAATCCTGTTGTTAGTTCCAACCCAAATACACCCAATGACGCAGTGACAGATAAATATTGACTTATCAAGTTCCCTTTCATTTAATAGGTCTATTCTAGCCAGGAGTAACCGACCAAAGATACTGTGTTGTTGCTAACTGCCGTCAAATTGATTTTGACTTATGACAACTCCATGAGCGAGAGACCTCCAAGTCACCTGGCCATCAACCTCCCTGCTCAGGTCTTGCAGGTTCAGGACTGTGGCCTCCTTGACTTGGTCTATCCATCTGCAAAGTGGTCTTCCTCTTTTCCTACCACCTTCTACCTTACAAAGGATTATCGTCTTTCTAGTGAGCCATGCCTTCTCATGATACATCCACAGCCCAACAGCTTCAGTTTAGTTGTCTTGGCATCTAGAGAAAGTTCAGGCTTGATTTGCTCCAGGATCCATTTATTGGTCTTTTTTAGCAGCCCACGGTATCTGCAGAACTCTTCTCCAGACCACATTTCATGTGAGTTGATTTCTTCCTATTAATATATTTCCTGATCTCAAGCTTCCCTATACAGTCATCTCGCCCCATTTGCGGGGGATCCATCCTGGACACACACACCCATGTATGGGGGAAAATGGGGATATTCAAGCCCCATTTATTTCAATGGCGGTGTGCTTCTGTGTGCGCTGCTGCACGCATGCCACAAGCACACCTACCATTTTGTCCCTCCTGGTTTGCCATCCACAAACGATCAAAACTGCGGGTGGCAAGTCCGCGAACCAGGAGGCACAAGTGTATTTAATGCCGGATTTTGGATAAGCTGGTAATCATTAAATGAGGCAGCTCTTCCTAATGAACTCATTCATTCTAAGTCTCAGTGACATTTCCCAATTCCCGGCATGCATAACCCTTGCAGGCAGCAGTTAATATGTAAATAAGAAGTTCTTGCTTATAGAAACACAAGGAATATTGGTACATAGTCCAACAGGAATAATAGTGCATCCTCTGAGTTTACCTGAAGGAGCAAGGTTAAAGGGATAACGTTAACCCTCCTATTTCCCAAAGTCTATATCATCATTTGGGGGTTGCTTCTACAGTGAAGTCCCTAACCATCCATCTCCGTGGGTTTATATTCTTGGAAAACAAAATATGTCAACTCTTTCTTGGTTGTGTTTCAGGAAGGATAGGTCTTAGGGGTCTTAAGAGTTATTCAGATGGTGAGAATAATCCAGGATGAATCTGGGTTGAATCTCCATTGTTCACAGGCATCCTGAATACACTCAACTAAATTTTATTGGGGGGGAGAACCCACTTAATCTGGGATAAACAATATCAGTTCCCCCCCAACCCAAGTTTCTAAAAAAAGATTTGCATTGTCAGCAGTGTGAATAGCTGATGCAAATAGACCTGGGCTAAAGCTCTGCATGCCTTGAATGTGCTCCAAATGTACTCGCATTGTCGACTCCATCTTTATTCGAGTGCTGGCACATGCGAGCAATGGACCTTGCAGAGATGCACATAGATGTGGTTCCATAGTGTGAATAACAAACCTGTAATGCATGAGTGATATTAGCATCATGGCACGGGGGAAAAATGAACCTTTAGAATTATAGAATCCTAGAGTTAGAAGAGACCCCAAGGGCCATCCAATCCAACCCCATTCTGCCATGCAGG